CTCCGAAAGCACGAAGAACCCAGAGCCCAGGTCTACCGATGGTATCATAGGCCTTGACCAGGTCAATAAAGTAGAGATGTAGGTCTTGTTGGATTAACCCTCCACCTCTGCTGGAGCAGACAGACAGAAAATATGGCATCTGTGCAGAACCACCCTTTACAGAAACCATATTGGGGCTCTGCAAGCCTCTCCTCAGCGGGCCTGGCAAGGCGATGTTGAATCATCCTTGCCAGGACCTTTCCCGGCACACTGAGGAGTGAGATGCCCCTGTAGTTGTTACAGTCTGTGCGGTCCCCCTTCTTAAAGAGGGGGACCACCAGGGCATCCTTCCAATCCTGCGAAACCCGTCCAGTGGTCCAGACTGTTGTTATGATGTCATGTAGGGCAGTCTGCGCACAAACGCCACCCTCCCTCAGCATTTTGCTCGGGAGATCATCTCTGCCCGGTGCCTTTCCTGGTCTCAAGACTCTGGATCGCCTTCAGTACTTCCTCAACAGATGGGACATCAGTCAGCCACTCACAGGGGTCGACTTCTTCTTCCAATATTCGAAGTACAGCAGCCTCAGCAGACCTCATCCCTCGTGGGTTGGGGTCACACCGTGGGTTGGGGTCACCGTGGGGGGGGGGGGTCACACCGTGGGTTGGGGGTCACCGTGGGTGGGGGTCACACCGTGGGAGGCAAAACGGAAACTGAGCTCAGTCTACCCTGCAGGTCACTCACTCATCCACCCAACCACTCGCTCACCCCATCACTCACTCAACCACCACACTGAAGGTCACTCACTCACCCAACACTCACTCACCCCATCACACACAGACTCACCCACCACACTAAAGGTCACTCACCCCATCAATCACACACTCACCACCCAACCACTCACCCACCATACTGAAACTCGCTCACCCCATCACTCACACGCTCACCCACCACACTGCATGTCACTCACCCAACCACTCACTCACCCCATTCACTCACCTACTCACTCACATACCCACACACTCACATACCCACACACTCACATACCCACACACTCACCCACTCACCCACACACTCACCCACACACTCACTCACTTGTCGTGCCAATATGTCCAAGCGGGGCCACACGTTTCTGGTGTAGTGACATAAGAAGGGAGGGGCTGCTGTAGGCTCTGGGTTCCCAGGTGGGTCCAGACGCGTAATCCCCTGGGCGCCAGGCGCTGGGTTCCCAGGGGGTCCAGACGCTTAAGCCTCTGGGCGCCGCCAACGGGGGGGGCTGTGTGTGCTCTGTGGGATGTCTGGTGGCGCACACGGCCCCACCCCTCGTTGGGGACTGGGCATATAACCGGAGCTCCCTGGACGATCGGGCCCCAGTTGTAACTCAAGACCCAAGACCCACGACCAGCCATCTGAAGACCCTGGGATGCTGTGAGAGCCAGCGCTGGGACTCTGGAACTCCCGACGCTACGACCTTGTGAGGGCGAGTCCAGAGCGTAGCCAGAGTAGAGTATCTAGGCTGTGTAGCTAGGCTGTGTACCTAGGCTGTAACAGAGTATCAGGACTGTTGGAGTGTTGTATTGTAATAAAGAAGTTACATCTACAAGTGTCTCCGGAACCCGTTACATTTGGTGTTAGAAGTGGCTATGGAGACAAGAAGTAAGCCACGTACCTTCAGTCCTGACGGCGATGAAGAGGAGCAGGCAGCGATGGGGCAGCCAACGCCGGCCGACAGCGACGCTGCACCGCCGGCCGACAACAACGCCGCACCGCCGGCTGAGCAGCTGTCTGCTCTGCCGACCGTCCCCTCTCCAGAGTCGGGAGCAGAGATGGAGGAGGCGCTGCTTCGCCTCGCAGAGCTGCTCTGCGCCACCGCCTCCCTCCTGGGCGAGCTGCGGTGCTCGCGGCCGATGGCGGGAGGGAGAGAGGAGGCGCGGCGCTCGCCCGAGCCCAACGCCGCCGCCATTCCCCCCACGGATGTGAGGGACACTTCCGGGTGTGTCGTCACTTCCACCAGAGGAGCAGTGACCGCTGGGAGCGACGTCACTTCCGGGCCCAGCGTGTGCCAACCCGACGACGCCGCGTCATCAGCGCTGCGTCCCTCACCGCCGGGTGACAGCTGTTGGCAACCTAGCACAGCGCGTCATCAGCGCTGCGACCGGACAGTGAGGGCGCCATTCTTACTGTAACCAGCGCCGGGGCCGGCACATGGACCGACACGCAGCTCGCCGCCTTTGCTGCTCTGGCCAAAGGTTGGAGGTCGGGAGACCAGGCCCCTGACATTTCGTACATTTACGCGCTCCGGATTAATGATTTTTTTGTTGATATTTTCTTCGTTGTCGTCGGGGAGTCGTGACTGTTGTTGGGTAAACTGTGTGGAGCTTCGCTCGTGAGTGTTGTCAATGTGTGTGCGAAACTTTGCTTGTGATTGTTAACAATGTATGGTTTATATTGAGCTTTGTTCGTGATTGTTAATGTATAGCTTGTGCTGTCATTGTTAACGATGTATATACTGTATGGGGCATTTATCTTGAGATGGTGACATGCTGCCAAGGATTGGAATTGTCATGCTGGCTCTCAAATATCTTGGGGTGCAGATCCTGACCAGGATGTCCCAGCGGGTGTTGCGTGTCTAACACGAGAGTTGTGGTCCCGTCATGCTATGGCTGACGGCTTGACCTGACAGCCCAGAGATAGACACTCCGTGGCATGTCTAGCCTAGTGGGCTGTGTGCTCACATGGCTCGGAGAGTGTGGTCCCGTCATGCTATAGCTGACGGCTTGACCTGACAGCCCGGAGATTGAAACACTCCGTGGCATGTCTAGCCTAGTGGGCTGTGCGCTCACATGGCTCGGAGAGTGTGGTCCCGTCATGGAATAGCTGACGGCTTGACCTGACGGCCCGGAGGTTGAGACCCTCCGTGGTACGTCTGGAGCAGTAGGCTCACCCTGACGGCCCGGAGATTGAAACACTCCGAGGCGCGTTGAAACAGTGGGCTGGAGATTCGTGGTGTTCAGGTGTAGTTGTCCCGTTACGTTGGGACTGTATCCCTCAGTTGTTAGGGTGCATGTTGTGCAGGGAGTGAACAATGGGTCGTCTCAGATCGGTCGGTACAGCTATATGCTGCGATGCGAGTCTTGGAGAGAGATTGGGTCTCAGATCGGTCGGTACAGCTATATGCTGCGATGCGAGTCTTGGAGAGAGGTTGGGTCTCAGATCGGTCGGTACAGCTATATGCTGCGATGCGAGTCTTGGAGAGAGGTTGGGTCTCAGATCGGTCGGTACAGCTATATGCTGCGATGCGAGTCTTGGAGAGAGGTTGGGTCTCAGATCGGTCGGTACAGCTATATGCTGCGATGCGAGTCTTGGAGAGAGGTTGGGTCTCAGATCGGTCGGTACAGCTATATGCTGCGATGCGAGTCTTGGAGAGAGACTGGGTTGAAGTCCCCCCCGATATGGCCGACGTGCACGGTTTTAGGATGGAGACGCCACGTTGGAAAGGCGGGAGGTGCAAACGGTTGACATGTAATGTCGGTGGTGGTCCTCATTGAGGGCTGCTGGGACGCAAGCACGGGATGCCTTTTGGAGATGCGGTTCATGCGTGCGGCCACCATTTATGGACAGGAACAGGCAGATTTATTTTGTTTGTGTCATGTAAATTTTATATATATTTTTTTAAAATGTAGATACTGGAGCAGCCCTGAAGTGCGACTTCTTTGCCCAGTACATGGGTCGGCCCTGAAGTACGACTTCTCGACCCGGGACGTAGACAGACGTCCGGATAAGTGCGTGTAGAGGGATGCTCGACATGTTGGTCTTCGCCTTCTCTCCACCTGACGGATGGGAGGCTGGCAGGGTGGTGTGGATCCCTGCCATCCATGCGGTGATTGTGTGATTTCGGTTCGATTACCGGTGTTGGTTGTGCATCCAACGCGTCGGAATCTGTATATTTGTTGTTGTTAATTCCCCGTTTTCTATGCGGATCCCGAGGAGGGCTAGGTGGGCCGCGGGTCGTTTGTTCACGTGTCATTGCTTCACCTTTTTGTTGATTGATGCTTGTATATAGTGTAGAGTTGTACAGGTTGGTTATGGTATTTATGGTTGCTTTCTTGTTCTCTTTTCTTTTCCTGTTGAAGCTCGCGTATTTTTTTTTCTTCTCTCTCTCCCTTTCGTTAATTTAAACTTTCTAATTATTGACAGCCGGGACGGCTGGAGGCTACATAGAGGGGGGTAATGTAGTGACATAAGAAGGGAGGGGCTGCTGTAGGCTCTGGGTTCCCAGGTGGGTCCAGACGCGTAATCCCCTGGGCGCCAGGCGCTGGGTTCCCAGGGGGTCCAGACGCTTAAGCCTCTGGGCGCCGCCAACGGGGGGGGCTGTGTGTGCTCTGTGGGATGTCTGGTGGCGCACACGGCCCCACCCCTCGTTGGGGACTGGGCATATAACCGGAGCTCCCTGGACGATCGGGCCCCAGTTGTAACTCAAGACCCAAGACCCACGACCAGCCATCTGAAGACCCTGGGATGCTGTGAGAGCCAGCGCTGGGACTCTGGAACTCCCGACGCTACGACCTTGTGAGGGCGAGTCCAGAGCGTAGCCAGAGTAGAGTATCTAGGCTGTGTAGCTAGGCTGTGTACCTAGGCTGTAACAGAGTATCAGGACTGTTGGAGTGTTGTATTGTAATAAAGAAGTTACATCTACAAGTGTCTCCGGAACCCGTTACACTGGCACCAATCTCTGACGATTCTCAAAAGCCAATTTCCCATTCGGTCTTCATCTCTGTCCAGTTCCTCTCATTTGTTCCGAACGACACTTTAACTTGTCCTGTCATGGTCCATCCTACTACACGTGTGTGTGTGTCCAAACAGTGGCAGTTTCATTCTCATCACTGCCTGCATCACCATCATCACCAGGTCGCCTTCATCTTCCTCGGCGTGCAACCCTGTTCATCACCATCGACGACGGTCAAAACGTCGCTCAACTCTCTCGCGTCTCACGGCGGTGAAGTTTCCCCGGGACGCTGCGGGGTCAGACAAGTTCCTTTATTCCAGGACGCGACAAACGCACGCCCGGCGAGACCGAGCCGAGCCCGGGGGCAATCCCTCCCCTCCCCTCCCCCCAGGGGTCGAACTCAGACTTCAAACGCATGCTCTGAGGTCTCCAACGGGGCAAGACATTTATTGTGCGTCTCTGCTCGCGTGTGTGGTGTGTGTGTGCGTGGTGTGTGTGGTGTGTGGTTTGTGTGGTGTGTGTGTGTGGTGTGGTGTGTGGTTTGTGTGGTGTGTGTGTGTGGTGTGGTGTGTGTGGTGTGTGTGGTGTGTGTGTGGTGTGTGTGGTGTGTGTGGTGTGTGTGTGGTGTGATGTGTGTGGTGTGTGTGGTGTGATGTGTGTGGTGTAGTGGGTAGTGAGTGGTGGCGTAGCTGGTTAGCGCTGCGCTGCGAACCCGGCGACCCGAGTCCGATTCCCGCTCACGGCCAACACCGGTGGTGATTGTCCGAACCGACCCTGGGCCTCCTCCCCGAGGTCGAATCAAACGAGTACCTGGTGCTGTGTGTGTAAAGATCGCCGCCGGGGAGACAAAGGCGGTCGTGCGAGGTGCTGGCCACCCACCCCCTCGTGTGCCGTTCCGGCCTTCATAGGTGCTCGCTAACAGCACTTGCCCCTACAGTCTGTGAAGGCTACACGGGGGATCTTTGTCTTTGTGTGATGACATGACTATGGAGTGCTGGCTTAAGCGGCCTGGCTAATCAATATCCCCTCTTTGTAAACCCCCCCCCCACCACCCAAGCAAAAGAGAGATCTGGACATCAACGTGCAATCGAGAAGCAAAGCGAACATCGCCACCACCCCGCACCCCCCATTTAAGACAACAACAACAACGATAATGTAACAATAATAATACAAAGGGGTAAATTCCTCAAACCAGTGGTTCCTGCCTAACACGTGAGTCGGCTTCCGCGATTAATATAATCCATGATACGGATTTGTTAGAGTCAGACCGCGTATGTATAAATGTTGTGTCTTTAAGCCCGCCACCACGCGGCACGGCCAATTAGCAAGGTTTAGAGAACAGGACGTGGCCAATTCGTGGCTAGTACAGCACTGACCGGTTGTGTGTTGGCGAGCAAAGCCACAACGTTTACAATCTGAGTGCCGTGACGTTTCGCCAGTAATTACAACCAGCTTCATCAGGCGACAGCCAGATTCGTGGTTCTTGTTCACCTGGGGTGCATGACGCCACCCTTTTTGATTCCTCGCAAAATAGAAACCTTTGGCAATGAATCCAGGTGTAGGCCAATCAGTTTCAAAGACAATGCAATGAATATTACCAGAGCGATGGATATTTGCATGCTCACCACATGCAGTATATAGATTCCGTGCAAAAGGTTTCCTCTATTAGGTGTTTGACAAACTTAACACAGCTCCTGTTTAATTTCCAGAAAGCGTACAAACCTATTCTTGTTTTTTCACACTTCGATTTTGGCAAAAAGGTTGCATTTTACAACCGTTTCATCGACCCACCCCCTCTCTCTCTCTCCTCCCTGCTCCTCCCCCCTCTCTTACCTCTATGGCCTCTTGTTACAGCAGCAGCCCTTTTGCCCACTTCAGCAATTGTTTCTTGCTGTGGTTGCCCCACCTGATGACGGACGCTTGTGTTGCGCCCGAAACGTCGTCATTTAATTGATTTTGTTTTCTACCCACGTGACTTTACCACAAGAATCAAAGAGTATGGATCCCTGCAGTCACGAAAACTTCAAATCGAGATTTGGTCATTAACAATGAACTTTTTTAACTCCCGAAACCAAAGGGGGTTCCGCCAAGGCTGCAGTGAAGGTTTAAGAACCACTGGTTTACGACAACGATAAGAACGACAAGACAAGGGGGGCACAATTCCTCAAAATGCATAAAATGTTAAATAATCTGGTGACAAAAACGGGTGAGGCTGAGGTCTCTCCGCACGCAAACGGTGGTGGGGGGGGGGGGGGTGGGGGGAGAGGTCTATGCCCTGTCCGCCAGCTACTGCGATCACTCCCTGCCGGGGGGAGCGGGAGGGGGGGGCACGTCTCTCTGTCCCCAAAAGAGCCACCCAGGGCCCAAGTTGGACAACACGACGTCCGATTAGCGGCGTCGGCTTGCGTACGGTGCGAAAAGAAGTTCCTTTAAGAACTGCTCTGTTGTTGCGTTTAATTGGTTGCGCTCCCCCCGCCCCCCGCACCTCCGATTAGCGCGGCTGGCTTACATATGGTGCGAAAGAAGTTCCCGGCATGCAAGGCGTACGTGTCGAACTGCTATGGATACAGCCGTTTACGAGGCTCATAGCTGTTGCAGACAGAGAGGCGGCACAGCTGCTAGCAGCTGCCTGGCGGCCCTAGCAGTCGGTCACTGCCACACCACGTGATAACTTGGAGGGCTTCTCTCCCCCCAACCCCTGACCCACCCCCCCGCCCCATCGACGCCGTGCACCACGGTTCTTGCCAGCAAATCCAGGGCAGAGTGAGGAGGTGCGTGGAGGTGCGTGGAGGTGCGTGGAGGTGCGTGGAGGTGCGTGGAGGTGCGTGGAGGTGCGTGGAGGTGCGTGGAGGTGCGTGGAGGTGCGTGGAGGTGCGTGGAGGTGCGTGGAGGTGCGTGGAGGTGCGTGGAGGTACGTGGAGGTGCGTGGAGGTGCGTGGAGGTGCGAGGAGGTGCGTGGAGGTGGGTGGAGGTACGTGGAGGTGCGTGGAGGTGCGAGGAGGTACGTGGAGGTGCGTGGAGGTGCGTGGAGGTGCGTGGAGGTGTGTGGAGGTGCGTGGAGGTACGTGGAGGTGCGTGGAGGTGCGTGGAGGTGCGTGGAGGTACGTGGAGGTGCGTGGAGGTGCGAGGAGGTACGTGGAGGTGCGTGGAGGTGTGTGGAGGTGCGTGGAGGTGCGAGGAGGTGCGAGGAGGTACGTGGAGGTGCGTGGAGGTGCGTGGAGGTGCGAGGAGGTACGTGGAGGTGCGTGGAGGTACGTGGAGGTGCGTGGAGGTGCGTGGAGGTGCGTGGAGGTGCGGGGGCGACACGGCGTGGTGCAACGTCACGCACTAAAGCGACGACGATGCTGAAGCCGAGGACGAGATGGGGGGGGTGGGGCGTGCGCGCAGACCG